CCCTAGCTAGTAAATGCAGCGACATCTAGTGTACCCGGTGCATAGTAGTTTTCTAAACAGAAACCCACAGTGGCGCATCTATTTTTAATATAGTATATTATGGATAAGAACGTTCGTATGAAATAAAAAATAACTGTTATGAGAAAGAGTTCATATAGAGTTGGTGAGGCTTAAATCATTAGATTCTGTTATAAATATCAAAATATGGATATAACTAGCGCCATCTTGTGGCAATCATGATTCATGTCAATAAGCGTCATTGTCTTTGTCTATGTTCAATATGTAAATACATATTTTTAATTTACGTGATTTTCGGTCTAGAATGTGTTTTTTACATGGATTGTCATATTTAGACTGTGAAAAACCAACTTTTATTTTCATATTTTACCATATTTCAAAGTTAAGTCCATATTTTACAAGAAAATGTCACAATCATCCATATATTCACAAAAATGTATAAAATTTCCGTTCCCGCCACTAATGTTTTGTATAAAAATAAAGGATTTAATATGCTAAAAAAATGAACAAATACTGTGCGAAAGTTTCGAGAGCTGTAGACATGGCTTACACAATTACTGAATTAAGCATGTTTAAGTATGCACCCATCACGTCATGTGACTTGAGATGAGACTAGAGCTGTTGCAAACCGTATGTATTCGGTACTGAGTAACGGGTGCGCCATCTAGTACCGAGTAACGAAAAGTTACACATGAATGCATTTCGTTACTCGCATTTTTCGTATAGTACATCCAAGTACCGCTGACACGTATATTGGTATTGAATGAAACGTTTCTGATCGTATGTTTTACGCATGCGCGCACTTATTCGTACAATTTTAAAACTTAGTTACAAATAACGATCTTTGTTTATTTATTTAAGTACAAATTGGAAATTCGTCGTTCAAGTTTTAGATATTATGTGTGTGTAGTGTAGATAAAGTTTGAGATTTAAACAGAAAAGAGGTAAGAAAGTATTTTCTACAAAATACATCTTTATTGTTTTATTTTGTTTAAAATATATTTTTATGTTAAACATTACCAAATTTTATTTAATTTTAAGAACAAAACATTTTTGTTATTTTAATTTGGTTTAAAACATGTTTTATTTAATTTTTTTACTTAATTTCATTCAAAGTAAAAAAAATATGTTAATTTTTCATTAGAATGTTGTGATTTTATTGTCAATAAATTATTCTCGAGACCCATTTGTTGCTTTTATATTTATAATCGATTCATAATAGATTTCGATGTTATTGTGATTTAGGTAACACGGTTATATTACAAAATAAAAATAGTCCATTCATCCGGTTATTAGATTCTGCCGTACATACAATGATTTACTTTCAAAACACAGTGACATATTAGATATATTTGATCCCAATTTTACAAGGCTTAAAAATAGGGTAAGGCTTATTATATTGACGATTCAATGATTTACTCTCCAATGACTTTTTCTTATGTTTATTGCCATGTAGTTGTTATTGAATTATATTTTAATTTTGACAATTTATTTATTATTATTATTTTTTTTAATTTACTTAATTCTTTAATTTAATTTAATTTTTTAATTATACTTGTTAAACAATCTTAATTGAATGTATCTGTCTCTTTTGCTCCTATTTGTATTATTGTTATCTCAGTGAATGTAATTTAAATTAATTTCTAACGTTTGTTAATGTTTTTTGTATCAACAACTAAGTAATTGAATTTAATTTATATGATCCTATTTATTCATTAGTCTTAAATTGTACCTAAATAATGTAGCACCTGACAAAATATTGGTTTTATAATGATTATGCCGTGTACACATGCTTAGCTAAAAATAATTTTAGACTGTAACTCAAATGTAATCCGGATTGTATTCTGTTTGTGTGCCTAAATAAATAAATAAATAAATAATCAGAATCCTTATCAACAACTTATAGGCAGTTTGCAGATCCTACCTAATACCTAATCCAATTCAATAACTGTATTAGTGAAGAGCATTGGGTTTATGCTAAAAGAATATTATATATACTTCAAGAAAACATAAAATTTGGTTTGAAATATAGTAAGAATAAAAATGATAATATTGAAGGATATGTTATAATGATAATATATAAGGACTGAGCAGTGATGTTAATGACAGTAAATCATATTCAGGGTTTTGTTATATTTTGTCAGGATCAGTTATATCCTGGACTTGTAGTAAACAAAAATGTATTTCACTTTCTAGTACTGTAGCTGAAAATGTGTCAATATCAGGAGCCTGCAAAGAAGCAGTGTATCTGAGAAACTTACAACATGAAGTGCCTTGTAGAATGTATACTATTACTTTGTATAATGACAGTATGAGTGCTCAGAAATTATAACTGAACCCAGTATTCCATATTAAAACTAAACATATGGATGTCAGGTATCACTATTGCTGAGATATTATAAATAAAAACATTGTTAGTATTAATTATTTGTGTATATCTGATATGCCTGTAGATTTATTTACCAAAAGCTTAAGTGTTGTAAAACATTATAAACATGTAAATGCTTTAGGAATGGTTAGAGTGTAATATATTTTAACTTTAAGTTCATGTTAAGTATTTATATAGTTTAAAATAGTTCATATTTTGATGGGAAGTGTTGTGAATATCAGATTGTGGCAATCATGTCAATAAGCGTCATTGTATTTATCTATGTTCAATAAATCCTTCCTCTGTCGATCTTCAGTTGACACTAGTTGTTTTATTGTATATTAATTATCGTAATCTAATTCCTATTAAACAGCTTATTTATTCATAATGGTGCTGAGGGAGCAGGATCTCTTTGTCTCTACTAACGTTTACATTAAGATCGGTTGTTGTCATATTTTCACAATAAAACTGTTAAGGTTATATTCTTACTTTCTGTTGCCCTTACACACTCATAAAAACGAATATTGTAGCACACATAATTTGAACAAATGTGTAAAGTTTTATGTGTAAATTTTACGAAAATCTTGAAACGTTCCTTCCGTCGTATATCTTTTCAAACATGTAATAAGGGGAGAGGCACAGAGCTATGAACAAAACATTCACTCT